AATATTTTATTTATTATCAATTTTTACATGTTAGCAGTTTTTCTTAGGTATATTTGCTTGTATGATGATTTACATGCAGCAAAATAATTTTATTTTTTTATGTGAATGTGCCACCTTCTTTCTACCTTTCATAGAAAACAATAATCTGCATACTGCTAGCTGTTCCAGTCGCGTTATTCATACTCTCCGTAAGTTTTACATCGAATCAGTGTAAACAGTACAATCCAAATTTGCCGCTAAGTTGCACATAGCATATCAGTTGCTTGATATTACTAGTATACACTGTAAATAAGTTGTTATAAGTTCAAATTTAGTAAATCCGCATTTTTTTACAAAGTGTCAGCTGAAAGTAGATTCAAAGTGTATGTGATGTTAAACCCTCAATCAGAGCAATGTTGGAAATACCAAAGAATCTGAAACCTGAATTATGAAGAATGTCAATCAAGCAGCCTTAAACATTCTGTGAAATACCATCACTAAGCTTCACATCTTCTAGCGATTTTTGTGGATGTTATAAGTGTAACAACGAATTAGGTTTTGATTAATAAATAGTTACTGAAAATGATTGTCAATTTCATTTTGCAGTGATTCCTAATTCTTCTTATTGTTACTGCTCATGGGAAGTACAAAAATACGAAACCTGTACATTCCAAAAAGACTTCTATTACTAAAACATGTAATATACATCTGATGGAGATTAAAGACGTTTGATAATCCCATGTGAAACTGATGGATTGCGCCGCACAAACATCCATCAGGAACTAGCCATTCAACCAAACTAGTTGCCTAAAGATGTCTACTGATGTCAACATACACATGTGATAATTCCTCAATAATAGAGACAGATAATGATACATATCATCTGTAATTCTGAAATGGTGAGCCCATGCGAAAACGAACCATCGTAATGCATTTACGCATTTTTATTTTAAGCCAACATGGATCAGAGTCGTCTACAACATAGTAAATGGAACAATCTGAATGTTGTGGAAATGCTTTTGGTGAATACTTGTCAAAAAAGATAAATAACAAGAAGTAATACTGCATTTTTCTATTCTTTTACGTTCCCAGTGGAGCTTAGGGTTTCAAGCTGGAGGCTTGAAGTTTCTGGAGCAGTGGTGTTGGTTTTTTAAGGCTTGATGTCGCTAGCCTAATACCCAAACTTTCCTCGTTAACAGTCTCGTTTCTGGCTTACCGATGTAAAGGTGCGCGTTGTCCAGGAATTGAATCCTGGTCCACATGCGGCGTTGGCGAGCAAGCTAATACTGTGCCACCAATGCACAAATATTACATTAGTAGTCTGAAAATGTTCGTCAAAAAGAGATACAGGTTGTTATCAGAAGCAAACATTTCCAGATATATGCGAAAAGTATGAATTATTCGAAAAATCACTCCACTTCAGCGACCGTCTGTGTTGATTACTGACGTAAGTCTAACAGACATCATATCTAGCATAATACTGAAGCCAATAATGAATACCCGGATAATTCAACAGTAGTTGAGGCACATAGACTTCAACTTGTTTTATTGTCACTGTGGTCGTAAAAATTAACAGTTATTCTCAATATGGAATACGATTTTCCGAAAAATGCATGCTCACATACGATAGTCATTTGTAGCTGAATTCGTCTTGCCTCTTTTACTCTTCAGGTGATCCTTATTTTCGGCGACATCCGAAGGTGTATATCTTGGTTGTTTCCGCCTAACTCCTTCGAGTTTGTTCTTGCCTTCTTCATTTGGTGTCAAATGATAAACATATTCTTACAAGTTTATTTCAGCCTAACATTATGTGCAGCTGGATTTTGTTTCACATCATAAATCGAACAGTTATTTGTGGAATGGTTGTCGAATTATTTGCTTCGAGCATTCATCATATTATTATTGTACTAAAATTTCCACTTAATCATATCGAAGTTTGCTTTCAATTTCACATGTACTTACGTCTTTGTACACCGATCAATAACGTAATCTTCATAAAGAATAAATGCACAAATATAAAGGAAATTATCATCGACCAATCTGCACCCAATTCAGATTGTTTTTCAGATGTTTGTGTGCTAAAATGATGCGTGCTTTAAAATGTCTTCTGAAGATACAACCAAAGATTAAATGTCTATTTCTGATTTCAGCAAAACAAACGACCTGTCAATTTGAAAGGATGGTTCTACAGTATAATTGTGCGAAATTCTGAACATATACCATGAGAAGTGTCATTCAAATTTCAGTCTTGTATGTTTTAATAATACTAGGGGATTTCAGTCAGTGTGCATTTTTAAAACGCTGCGCTCGACAGTGGTTATGTTGTGTATGGAAGTGGCCTAAGAGTGACTTGTTTATTTTACCGATAATATGTGTTGTCTTGTATACAACATTAGTTTCAATTACTGAGGAAGAGCGTACTTGTAGGATGATGAAACAGTTATCAACGAAAGATTCAATCACAAGTCAGAGACGCCAAAACAATTTCCTTTCAGTAGGAACAAACACCGGTGAGCTTGTGAAGTCATACTTTATTACACAGATGATGTATGCGATTTGTAGTTCAGCTGGACTATTCTATAAACAAGACAGCTTATCATTGAAGTTCTGTTATTCGTCCAGAATCTTAAATGGTGCAAGTTGTGGTGAAACACATGACGTCAAACGACTTATTATCAGTCATGATTGTTGTGTCAGCCAAAGAATGTTTTTGCCAGAATTACTGTAAGGAAGTTTTGCGTAATTTCTCATGGTGTGGTATAAGCCCGCTGTTTGTCATTTTATTCGACACAGATTCAACACTCTGTTTTTTGGAAAACAAAGATCACTTGCGAATTCGTACTTTGTTATTACCGTCTTTCTTCTGAAACACAAACAACGGACACGCCACATAATTTTGTGCTCACTCTTTGATGTTTGATAAATGAGTGATTCAACATTCTTAGGCACTCTGTCTTTCTATATTATGATTACTGAGCGTAAGAATCAAATTTAATAACTAACCGCTGGTTAATTGTGACCTTATATTAATTGGTTATCGCGTTATACTGTCAAAGCCATCATTAGTAATTTTGTGAAACCATTAAATTGCAAATTTCATAGTAGCTTAATGGCACAGCGATTTCAACGTAATCGTTGAATAATTCATTGGAGGTTAACGAGTATTCTCAATTGCAACTACTATCACAATTAGTGATCTAATATTCTTCGTTCATTACCTTGGTACGCATAGATTCCAATGAGTAGTTTTTGTGTTCACAAGTCCCTTTGAACTACAGATCTGAGTGTGGACTCCAGCTGAATTAAGTTGTTGAAAAATTGTGCAGGGCACCACAGAATACGCTAGGTAGCACGAGGTGATACTTTCTATAAATTGGGTTGGTTCTATCCTGGATAATCTTCCTTTTGCAATTAATAGTGTTCTCTGAGCTGGTTGATTTAGTTGCGGAGCTTTCGTCGTCCTTCTGAACAACATCTTCAGCGGCATATTTAGCACTATTAATTGCAAATCATCTATCTGAGCTACAAATGTCCTCTATTATTTCATAACCTTCCTTTCTCATGAATGCACTAACTTCAACTTTGTCTCATTCGGCCTTCTAATTTTCAGTAACCTGCATGATGAATCCATTAATCCACTTATGATCAGAGAGTAAGAATTACATTGCTAAGACAAGTAACTGTTTTCCGTGCAAAGTCTGCCTTTCTCGATTTTGTTGTTTCGCAAAAGATTTGACTCTTATCTCCCACCATTCTAAGAGATGAAAAAGACTGGTTAATAATCGGACCACGTTTCGTTTTCTGCCAGCTGTAAGAATTTCCCAGCTGGCCATTCCGTAATTGGTTTGTGTACACTGACTTCTTCAGAGTTCAGTGACTCCCATACGATGTTTTCACATCAGAAAAATCCATCTTACACTTACTATTCATTTCAAATGTGAATTTTGTCGTCGGATGGCAATTGCTAATTGCATTTCATATATTCTTGAAACCATGAAAGTCATCACGAATACTGGGAGCATCATCTCCGTGCCAACCATTACGTTTCCTTCTGACTATCGCAAAAAAGACGAACCGAGTTCGTGTCTTATTGATCACTTTTTATAAAAGTGGAAGCCTTGAGTTCTTCACTTCAGCTGACTGTTTTATACACTCTTAATTAGAAACGCCATTTGCTACCAATACATTCGATGGATATATTACAAACATACACGGAAAACTGAATTTGTTTATTGACAATGTACCTAGAATTGCTCAAAATATATGCAGAGAATCTAGTGTCCGATTTCCCTAATTATTTTTCACTGAGAAACGATTTGTCTTAATGCCTTCGGTTGAAATTAACTGATGAAAATGCAGTGGAATTGATCACATAAAAGAATCTGATGAAATGAATCAGTCTAGAGAAACAAACATATTGAAGGCACGTTTGTAGACATATTCACGAAGCACCATGCACGATCCCTCCAATGCTAAAAGCTCGTAATTCACTTGGACATCATTGGCTCACCAGATAAAATATTTTTGGCTAACATAAAGCCGGAAAAGTGATAGCAGGGGACAGCGAATACATAATGGCCGTTTAAGCCGAAAAGAAGAATTAGACGAATAATTATCACTCAGCATTCTATGATCGCATATGAATATCTCTAACAGAAGCAAAACTGACATGGAATTAATACACAGAGTCACAATTCAAGTACTGGATCAACGCTGAACCAGTGAAATACCGTGTTTATTTATCAAGTGAAATTGTTCTACACTAGGACTATGTTCAGTGAAACAAAGAAGCATTACCATAAATTGTGTCGACTATTGTCTGTGCAGAAACCGATATATACATTATGGAATAACCACTCCTACTGAAATAGTCTTCAGATTAGTATATAGATGTAGAAGGAGGAAGGAAAATTTATTTCATCAGTACAATATTTTCCATTTTCATGTGAACGTCTTCTCATACACTAAAATGAAACAGAATTTCTACTAAATATTCAGAATAAGCACATACAGGGAGAAACCTAAACAAATCCCACTAACAACATATCTGTGCCACTAAACAAGAGGACTGCAAGTAGCTGAACGAAATTTCTTGGAGGACTTGTTGATACGTGAAATCGTGTAGTATACGAAAATCCCTGTATAGAGTGTAATAAACATGTACAAATTTTTAAAAAAATGTTGAGTTTGACTTTTTCGATGGTTATCGAAATCTACATTGAGTATCCTGAATGATCATATTCAGTTCTTTGTCTCAGTGTTATCAGAGTTCATATGATATAACTTTTTTCGAAACCGTGAGATTATCTACATTCATTGTGAAGTTTGATACACATTCAAGTAAGATGTCGGCATACAACATAAAGTAATAATCAGCTAACTTGAATATAAAAGGGCTTTTTCTCACGAAGTATATCGTATTAGTGGCTCAAAGGTTTCGTATATTTCATATTTCAACTCAAACAGATTATTTGTATTTCTTAAATATTTGTAATTTCAGAAACGTGGTAAAAAAAATTCAGGATTTCATCTTAGAGATACAGAAAGACATTTTTAATCAAACTTCAGATGAAATAGAACGATGGTTTCATTTGCTCGTAAATTCACAGACACAGGCACAATACACATAAATTTATCAGATAAAATTTACGATCCCTATATTCAAAGTAATTAGTTCCCTTTACGAACTTCGACAACAAAATAAGAAGACGTGATCCATCTGAAACGTGTAATGTATTTGTGCAACACATTTCGGACAATCTGATCACAAACCTACTTGCTATACACAGTTTTATATTAAAGGCAAGATGGCATGAATAATGACAATGCAGGTCAGATTATATACAAGTCAAGGTCACAAATAATGGGTAGGGAGATGACTCCAAGGTGTGGGTAAAAAACATAGCAAAGAGGGGGTTGAAATTAAATTCATACTTGTTTCTAAATTGGATTACCAAGTCAGGTTTAAAGTAATAACAACTAACTTTCGGACACATAAGACAGGTTTTAGTCTTTCTATAACCTAGGCTTCAGCGAATTTAAGTATATGACCCAACCTTGTTTTATATATAGGCTTAAGGGCATTGTTTAAATCAATCTTATGTCTGGTCGCTATAATGTGATTCGCTATAGATGATGTTGGATATCTATTGCGAGGATACATTATGTTTGGTGATTTTATTTGTTGTTGCAGCCACTTTGGAATGTATTCCGTAGCCCTAACCTGCAGAGACCAATGGGTCCTCCCTAAGTACGTGTGTACACACAAGCATACAGATTGATAAACACAATGGGATGTGACACTATCGTTCGGATACTGTAAGGGTTTACAGGACAGAATAGTTTTCCTTCTCTCTATGAAGACAAGCGTAGCTGCATAATAATTTCTATTAATTGCGGCCTTGAGTCGTTTTTAGTGATGACACTTTGTTGATCGTCTGTGAACGGCAAGGATATGTTAACATCCTGTTTTGGTAGCTGATTGGATTGTTGGGGCTCTATGGCTGACACTTCCGTAACGCCTAATACATCTCAGTGGGTAAGTGTTATCTAACAATATTTCAGTGAGGTGTTGTCTTTCTTCTTCAATTGGATCGGCAGTATAAAAACGGTGGGTGCGTTTGGAAAAACACTTAAGCAACGCCTTTTTATACTATAGTGGATAGAAGACTATGATAATTTAGATACTGTTTCATCCATATAGACTTTCTGTGGACAGATCGTTTTATTGACCCATCTTCTCGACAGGTTATGAGAACAGGTAGACAATCATTGTTCTCTTTAACGTATGTTAGCGATATATTATTTTGAACTCTGTTAATCTAGTTTAGGATTACTATTGCGTCTGTCGGTTTGTCACAAATCACTATTATGTCATCTACATATCCCTTATAAAAAAACTTTTCCAATTACTTCCTCCGCTAGGTTGTCAACTTGAGACATATATATCAGCTTACAATGAAGCTAGGGAGCTTCTTATAGTAACACCATCAACCTGGTTATAATGCTTGCCCTCACATGTAAACTTAACATAATTAGTACATAGAAGCAGTTACGCTTTTAAATAAGATATGGACATTGGTGAGAGGAAATTGTTGTCAGTGATATAATCGCATAAAATGTCAACCGTCTGTAAAAGGGGTACATTTGAAAATGAAGAATCAACATCTGGGGAAAACATGGTTATGTCCCTCATATCAACGTTATCAAGACAATCAATTAACTCAAAAATATATTCAATGCCAACTTACAGAAGATTCTTCTAATAAGCTCTAATATTTCCACTAGCCACTGCGCAAGTTTGTGGGTTGAAGATCTGCACATTTCTATTATGGGACGTAGAGTAATGTTAAGCTTATGTGTTTTAGACAAAGCATATATGTGTAGTAATTAGGACTGCATGGGCGTTAGCGAATTGAATTTCTACCTGTATGCAATCTGACCTGTATTGTAATTATTCATGCCAACTTGAATTCTATAAAACTGTGTACAGCAAGTACGTTTTTGATCAGAATGTTCAAAATGTGTGTTCAAGTATATTACACGTCTCAGATGAACTACGTCTTCTTATTGTGTTGTCGAACCTCAATTTGCTGGGTATCTAAACTGTTTCCAGTCAAATGCACAGCTGTGTCACCGGTTATTATTGTGGAAAAAACAAACAAGGAGTGAATGCTTACGTCAATTATAAATGAATCCAAATAAACAGTGTTCAGAAGACATTGAAATATAAGGATCAAACCTGCAGGAAACAATGCTTCACTGTTAGAAAGTAATTCCCACAAATCAGTTAAAATGTACATACATTAAATGATATAAATATGAAGAATAAACGGCATTTAGGGATACGGAGTTACGACGTATGAAACAAAATATACATATACTGCTTATTGCTGAGAAGTAGAATGAATTTGACACAAATTACAAGTTAATAAATAATAGATGAGACAACATGAATTCATCCCTCTCAAACGACTGACATCATATGCATACGTCTTGGAAAATCTAGTATACAACAGAGCATTCATCTTGTCATTATTTCCTACATATTTTAGTGAAAACTACCCACACTATAAATATATCCTATTGCAGTAGGGACTGATGGTGATTCAGTGCCGGCAGCATGATGACCAACCACAAACGAGACCCATGTGCTGTCCCCCTGGTTGATACAATCCTAAATATCTTTTAGCCAATATAAATTATGCTGCAGTGGGAAGTTTGGACCAAGAGCTAGTATTCACACCAAACATAGAGAAACACAACTCGTACTGAAGCTTTAAAGTTCAAGATTGAAGCCCAATATACCAAAAATGTTAATCTACAGACATGTATTGTAGAATGGGTCTATACAATTATAAAAAACAGTCCAACCAACCATAAGAGCGACGAGCAAGTCTGGTGATAACAAACACACATACACAGTATAACACATGCAAGGGTCGAAAATCTGGTAGACACAATCCAGCCTAAGTAAGACACAAATTTTGGGGATATGACGTAGGAGAGCCAGAAATTCGCAAGAAATTATTAATCAAATAATCATCTTACATGAAATAAGAAATCTGAGAATAAAACAAATGAATCAACATTCATACATCGGGTGAGTGACTTGCGTTTTAGTCGGGTAAACAGCCAGTACATCCGATTTATTTGTCAGCTGACAATTCACTGTCTATGGTACTACAAAATGAAATCTTAGGTAGCGAAACATTTTTTCAAAATGATGTTGAGATTTCATCTCATTTAATCGATTTAACGGGAAAACTTAATTTCCTGTAATTAACATCTTTTAGATCATCAAACAAGTAATAATATATCGTTGCAACGACAGCTGAAACTCCAAGGGCGATTGAAATTGACAAGAAAAAGATGAACCCCTTTTCACTCAATGATGGCAGCTTCATGGCTGGTACGACAATTATAACTGTATCCACAATCGTCACGGCTAACGATATCAAGCCACATTTCAACTCAATAGATCCGATCACAGTGGCAAAGATCACAGACCACAAAATGACCCACATAAAGAAAATATTAATAATACTATTTGGAAATTAATTTCTGATAAATTAAAGCGTATCTAGCAAAGTAGGCAAATTTCAAATGCAATATTTCCAACTCTTATTATGACAGACGGTTGCTATTAATATCGTAGTCAGAAAATTTCAGCCACTCCTCAGTAGTGTCTAAATATTATTTCTGATGTGAAAGCAAAGTTGGGTATGAGACTCACTATGCTATGGAATTTTGGAATGTCATCAATGTCGGTTTTATTGGAAAAAATGCTTGAATCATCATTCCAGTCCATCAGCAATGAATGAAGGCGAGTATATTTAAAATGCAAATTGAGCGGACGAGTTTTTCCGTCATTCAAGCAAAACACATGCATGAAAGTGGTTTCAGAGCATCACGACCAGAAAATGTCCGCATTCGTCTTCTGCATACTGGTGATTTAAACATTTCAACTGCACATTTTCACTTGTTAAATTTCTTCAGTGCATAATATATCGCTTAACACTGTTTCCAGTTGCGAGTGTTGAAGTGATTCGTACATTTGAACTAGTGTTTATGATGCTTACATCATCCTTATTACTTCAAGAATTCACGAATGTATATAGAGACGGTTAGATATTTCACCGTCGTATATTTTCTCAGACATATGTACAGACAAGATCGAAGCAGTTCAGAGGAAAAGCGAGGTGGTGGTGTGGCTAATTTTATCAATTCTCAGTGGTCTGTTGCTAACAACGTCTCCTTTAAATACTCCAATGATAATATTGACTGTATAACTGTCAAATGTCGACCTAAACTCCTATCTAAGTAAAACTCCATTTTTTTCATGAAAATTCATGTCACACCCTGGTGTAATACTTCAGAATTATCTATGCTTTCTGATGAACTCAATATTTCTGCTGCCACCTCTTTTGAAAAATCATTGTCAATAGTGACAGGTGATTTTAATTTTTGTGACTGTGGTTTTCTCACAGTGATAGGTCATGAAAATGTCATTAACCTTTCCACTTGACTGGATACTTCTCTTGATCTTGTCTTTATAAATGACTCCGGAATATACGAAGCTTGTAAAATAGCCCCACTGTTGAACTCCTATCTTTGTATTCAACTGGTTTTACTGAAAATTTGTGGAAAGTTACACAAGGGTACGCTGCACACCTGTACATAGATGTTACACTAAGGAGAATGTTAAGAATCTTAGGAGTATGCTAGAAGATACAAGGTGAGAATTTTTTAAAGAAGACTGTCTTGATGAATTTTATCTAATATTACGTGTTACCTCAAATTTTGCCTTGACACCTGTTGTCCCAGAGAAACTTTCTTCATCAGACCTTACCGTTTCTCCTCCGCTCAACTTGAAAAGCTTCGCAGGCAAAAACAAATATTATATAAAATTAAGGATAACATTGGTGTAAAAAGTCTGAAATGCAGAGATAAAATTCAATTTATAACCGGAAGTTAATATCGTGTAAAAGTGCCTATAATATATGGAAACGTTTCAAAGAAATTTCTGATGGTAAGCATTTGATGTGTGTGCACTAAACAAGTCTTTCATACATTCTCCCACAAATGCAAAACTTTCTAGAGTTACAAGTGATAATGAAACCTACAAATACAAATGATATTTTAAATTGTCTCCAGGCACTGAGCACTTCTTGTGGTCTAGGTCCAGATGGTTTGCCTAGTCTTGTTCTTAAAAAGTGTGCAGATATCCTTTTTTGTCCTCTCGTGAACATATTCAACGAATCTTTTTCCAATAATCTTGTGCCCTTCGTTTGGAAAGACTTTAAAATTGTACACCTAAGTCGTCTACTGTGACATATTTAAAATTACACATATAGCTATTCACTCTCCTTCTCTAAAAACTATGGAAAAGTTACGCTTACTTAATCTTCAACCTTCACTTAAAGCCTATGATAATAAATATTTCGTTTGACTTTTCACATTAAGAAGTTAGAGCACTCAGGCATAACCAAACCACTCCTCTTACAGTTTATCAGCTAGTGTATTTTACCTATTGTTCTTTACTGTTCACCCTTATTCTGTCCTGGATCGCTTAAAAATGACTACGTCATACTTCGTAGAACTCTTAAGACTGTCGAGTGGTATCCCATTGGCCCATATCGGTAGTATAGTCACTCATAGGCATTTGATGTCATTCAACAAATTCGCTAAAGGAATTTTGTCAGACTCTGAGCACCCACTCTACCGGAAGCTCCAAACTTGAGTCTCCTCAGGTAAAACACGAAGTCTTTTGAGAAGGGTTTTTGCACGTACGTCTAAGTATAAAAGTTCCACTATACCATATTTAGGACGTACTTTATGTGATGAAAATAGCGTCAGAAATGAACTAACCTTCTTTGCACCACAAAATAAACCATTTTTTCCACCCTAAAAGCATGATAGTTTATTGTTATTGTATTTCTTATATTTATAATCCTCTCAATTTTTTCGTTTTCTTATTTCTTTTTTTTCAAAAGTGTGGACCTAATTTCAAGCTGTATTATGACTGTTAATTTTGTATTTCTCCTTACTATACTATATTCAACAGAACATTAGACCCAATAATCTATAGCATGCTAAAGTTTTCAAACTGAATCGACAATACTGTTCGAAACAAACTCACTGTTATTATTATATCTAATAATTATGTCGTAAATGTGGACAAATTCCTTCGATTAATTTTGTTATATTTTTTAATTATATATATATATATTTTGAGTAAATCAGATGCAATATCGTGACAAATACTGAGAATTTCATTCTTTATCATAAGTATTGTTTTTGGAATAAAGTAAATTATTATTATAATTTAATTTATATTGGTGCATTAAATATTTACGAAAATTATGTTAATCAGTGTACAAAAGACGTCAACATAAGTGAAATTGGAAGCAAATTCAAGTATGAATCAGTCGACATTTTGGCATATTGACGAAATGACGACGCATGCTCAACGAAAATAATTCCACAGCCATTCCACAAATCAGTATTTGTTTTTTTCACATGCTACAAAATTGAGCTGCACACAATGTAAGGCTGGAATAAATTTGTGAGAATAAGATTATCATCAGACACCAAATTTCGAAGGCAAGAATAAATTCTATGGAATCGCGAGTAGACCACAACATTATCCAAATTCGGACATTGGCAACAATAAACATCACCTGAAGTGTGAAGAAGAAAAACGATTTCAGACACAAATGACTACCTTATATAGGCGTAAAACTCGAATTCCCTTGTGAGAAAGACTGTCAGATATGTGATTGCAATCGCAGTAAAATAAGGTGAAATATACGCGCCTCAACTACTGTTGAATTATTCGGAAATTCATGTTATGCTTCAAATGATTTGTGTTTGACTTAGGTCAACGCTTAACACAAACTGTCGCTTAAATTAGGCGATTTTTCAAAGAATTCATTTTTGTCACACGTTTCTGGAAATGCGTGCTTTGCATAACAGCCTGTACTTTGTTTTGACGGACATTTCCAGACTACTTACTTACTGTTATCTTTTATATTTATCATGTTTGACAATTGTTCACCAACAGCATTTCTAGAAAATTGTCTGCACCACTTGATTTATTAGTGGCTACTCTAACGGATAGCCGCTCAAAATGAACATGCATACGTTGTTGTTGTTGTTGTGATGATGGTAAGATTTCGCATGAGGTTTTCATTTCAGATTTATGGATCGAATATATCATTATCTGTCTTTGTGGTTGAGGAAAAGCGTGTGTATTTTGCAATCGTTAGTCCTCCTTAAGCCACCAATTTGGTTGAATGACTATATCTCAAGGATGCTTCTTAGTCGCAATTGAATAGCTTCACATGTGATTATCAAACATGTATATTCTCCGTCAGATGTATGTTACATGTACTAGTGATAGAAATCTTGTTGAAATTCGCCAATCAGCATGTTTTTCCACTGTCTACGAACAGTAGGAATCAGGAGAATAAGGATCACCGTCAAATGAAATTGACAATGATTTGCGGAAATATTTTAATAACCAAAATCTATTTTGCTTTTTCACCTACAGCATTCAGGAAAATCATAAAAGTGTGTTAAGCTTAGTTATAAAGTTTCACAGAACGTTTCATGCTCTTTGATTGACTTTCATCATAATTCAAGTTTTAGATTCCATAGAATTTCATGCATTGCTCTGACCGAGGGTTTAACGTCACTTATAGTTTTATTCGACTGTCAGTCTGCACTTTGTAACAGCGTGGAGAATTATTTATTATGAACATATAGTGACTGATTTCTTCTGCACTTGATGTGCTGTGAGCAATTAAACGGCAAAATTGCATTGTAGTGAATACACTGAATCAGTGGAAAACTTACGGAGAGTATAAATAACGCGACTGGAACTCCTACCAGTATGCACATTATCGACATCTAAGAAATCCAAAAGGATGACGGTATATTGACAAAGAGAAATACAAGATTTGTTGCTGCATATAAATCATTATACCAGCAAATATACCGGAATAAACACTGTTGACATGTAAACATTTGCAATAATAAATAAAACATCCCCAAAATATCCCCCTCACAACACAGTGACGTTGAATTAGTATAATAATAGTAATCTACTTAATTTCAAAATCAGTACTTATAATACAGAATGGATTTTACTGCAGTTGTCACAATATTGCGTCTGATTCACTCAAAATATAAGTAAAATTAAAACGAAGGTAACTAGAGGAATTTGTCCAAATTTAATGTTTAAAGTCAAAAATTTTCGAAGTACGAAATAAGAAAAATGAATATAATAATAATAACAGTGAGGTTGTTTCAAACAGTATTGTCGATTCAGTTTGAAAACTTAAGCACATTATGTAGTACTAATCCAATGTTCTTTCGATATAGTATGGTGAGGGGAAATACAAAATTAACAGTTATAACACAGTTGAAATTATGTTGAAACTTATGAAAAAATAAACATATAAAAGCAAAAATGTAGAGACGATTGTAAATATAAGAATTACCATAGGAACAAGAGTTAATACTGTGTGGGTGTAGGAAATGGTTTATTTAGTAGTGCAAAGAAGGTTAATTAGTCCATGCCTAACACCATTTTTATCACATAATGTACGTGCCGAATATGGTATGGTTGCGATTTTATACTCAGACGAACTCTCATAAAATCTTCTGAAAAGACTTCATGTTTTACGTGAGGAGACACAAAGTTGCATTTGCAGGTAAACTGGATGCTCAAAGTTTGATGAAATTCCTTATAAAAATTTGTTGCATGAAATCAAGTGCCTATCAATGAAGATGTCAGGGATATGGCTCAATGAGATACCACTCGTCCTACTAGCAGTCTTCAGAGTTCTACGGAATATCACATAGTCTTTTTTCAGCAATCCAGGAAAGAATAAGGGTGAACAGCATAGAAGTATAGGTAAAATACACGAGTTGATAAACTGTAAAAGGAGTGGTTTGATTATGCCTGAGTGCTTTAACTTCTTAATATACATAGTGTACTGCTTTCTTCATGAGAAATAAAAATGCAGCCATTTGACGACCCAACAGTCAGTTTGATTTTCAGCCAGCTTGTTTAACAAAATGTCCCTAGGTACTGAATCGAAAGCAGATGTGTAATCTAGGAAAGTGCAGCGAACAAATTTAGCCTAATTGTCTAAACTGAAGACATTCTTATGATGCAAGACTTTAGCTGGATCTAAAACGTTTCTACTGTGTTTGTATGCGAATTGTTTGTGATCGATAAAGGCTTTAAGTGAAGGTTGAAGATTAAGTAAGCGTAACTTTTCCATAGTTTTTAGAGAAGGAGAGTTAATAGCAATATGTGTAATTTTAAATATGTCACAGTAGACGACTTAGGTGTACAATTTTAAAGTCTTTCCAAACGAAGGGCACAAGATTATTGGAAAAAGATTCGTTGAATATGTCCACGAGAGGATATCTGCACACTTTTTAAGAACAAGGCTAGGCAAACCATCTGGACCTAGACCACAAGAAGTGCTCAGTGCCTGGAGACAATTTAAAATATCATTTGTATTTGTAGGTTTCATTATCACTTGTAACTCTAGAAAGTTTTGCATTTGTAGGAGAATGTATGAAAGACTTGTTTAGTGCACACACATCAAATGCTTACCACCAGTAATTTCTTTGAAATGTTTCCATATATTATAGGCACTTTTACACGATATTAACTTCCGGTTATAAATTGAATTTTATCTCTGCATTTCAGACTTTTTACATCAATTTTATCCTTAATTTTATATAATATTTGTTTTTGCCTGCGAAGCTTTTCAAGTTGAGCGGAGGAGAAACGGTAAGATCTGATGAAGAGCGTTTCTCTGGGACAACAGGTGTCAAGACAAAATTTGAGGTAACATGTAATATTAGATAAAATTCATCAAGACAGTCTTCTTTAAACAATTCTCACCTTGTATCTTCTAGCATACTCCTAAGATTCTTAACATTCTCCTTAGTGTAACATCTATGTACAGGTGTGCAGCGTACCCTTGTGTAACTTTCCACAAATTTTCAGTAAAACCCGTTGAATACAAAGATAGGAGTTCAACAGTGGGGCTATTTTACAAGCTTCGTATATTCCGGAGTCATTTATAAAGACAAGATCAAGAGAAGTATCCAGTCAAGTGGAAAAGTTAATGACATTTTCATGACCTATCACTGTGAGAAAACCACAGTCACAAAAATTAAAATCACCTGTCACTATTGACAATGATTTTTCAAAAGAGGTGGCAGCAGAAATATTGAGTTCATCAGAAAACATAGATAATTCTGAAGTATTACACCAGGGTGTGACATGAATTTTCATGAAAAAATGGAGTTTTACTTAGATAGGAGTTTAGGTCGACATTTGACAGTTATACAGTCAATATTATCATTGGAGTATTTAAAGGAGTCGTTGTTGGCAACAGACCACTGAGAATTGATAAAATTAAAGACACCACCACCTCTCTTTTTCTCTGAACTGCTTCGATCTTGTCTGTACATAGTGAAACCATTTAAAGAGAGATAAATTAGTTTCATTTGAATGGTGCAGTCAAGTTTCATGTTGCGTCATTATACTTGTATGACGGTAAATATTGGAACATAATAAAGCATCCAAGTAATTAATCTGGTTCTATAGTGACCTGCGGTCATCTGATGTATTGAATTACACTTTAATGATCGTTGTCACCCACCAGGATGTTTTTCACAAGGTTATTGGAAACTCGTAAATCATCATTGTTGAGAACATTTTAAATAATCGCAAGAATAATAAATACGATTTGGAAACATATGTTAATATCTTAAACAAAATAATTCCAAGTAATCAGATGCAATAAATGTGACGCAAAATTTGGGTTGGTGAAGGTTTAGGCGGGTCGCCCGTATTTATTTGAGCTATTCAGTATCGTTTTCAATCGTAGCTGGATAAGCTTGACCAAAATAGCAATAATGGCAGTAGAAGGTATCATTGGCCGGATCTGTTTGAAAGTAATTCAACATACTTAACAAAATGACTAGGCTGTTTTATGAACTCTCTTCTAACCATCAGCAGTCAGTGGATAACCAGCTACTTAGGCTGATATTTCACAGTCTATTGTATTCAGCGTTATTACGAGAGAAGACATTAGCAACAGGGCATTTTAAAATGATGTGGAGTTTTCATCTAATTATATCATCATAATATGGAAATCTTTAAGATAAAGATAAATGTAACTTACAACTTTTGGTTGACTGATCAAGTGATAACATATCCTTAGAACAATAGCTGAAACCGCAAGGACGGCTGATATTGCCCCAAATATGATCAACCCCTTTGCACTCAATCGAGGCAGATTCAAAGCCACCAAGACGACCCCAGCAGTAACCGTTATTGTCACGGCTAACGCTATCAAAGCACATTTCCGCTGAATGGATGTGAAATGAGAAGCGACGATCACAGCGCACAGAATAACCTGTGTCAAGAAAACAATAGCATTGATATTTAAGCAATTATTATCTGGTAAGTGTAGGCGTACTGAGAAAACTAACCACATGTCAAATGAAACATTCCGCTCTTTTGTTTTCATGGTTGGCGTTGTTACTGTTACCATCACGAAATGCAGAAAATAACTATTCGTTCCACGAACAAGCATTCTACATGTTGCATAGTGCAAATGAGACATTCCTCAGTTGTGCACAATATTATTTCGAATGATATAGTTAGACTGAAGTATGAAATACAGTAAGGTGTGGACTTTTGTGATATTGTCAATGACAATTACCTTTGTATATTATGGTATGGATTTTAGTAAGCTATAAGTAAGCTGTGGAGTTTTGTAATAATGTAGATAACAATTACCATTGTAAATTGGGAATGGATGCTTAAGTCAGCCTGTCAGTGCTCTGAGAACGGAATACCACTGTGAAATATTAAATAACCTGATGAATTTATGATGAAGTGAAATGAAACCGAATGAAATTAAAATCTGATTTCAGCAGGTAGATTTTATCAGACCACATATGTGAAAGTGGTATCAGTGAAGACCGTTCAGGAAATATTCAGCTTGATTTTATGCCGACTGGCGATTCAAATTTCTGTTTTATACATGTTTCTCTGCCGAAATACTTCAGTGATTTGGATATATTTAAAAAGTGATCCCAGTTTCACAGAGGGCTCTTACTATTCATGTCATTCGTACATTTCGACTAGTGTTAGTTATGCTTGTATGAGCTCTATTTGTTGACGAATTTACAAATGTCTACGAAGACGATTTCCTTCTTCCCCACATATTTTCTCACACTTTCGTATAATTAATCAACAATTTTTAATATGGCTGCCATTGGGAGATGAAAATAGCATGCGTCAGAAGTAGTGGAAACAATCTTATTTGCAGGATAACAATTGTCATAGATATTTTTTCAAATTACACAGCAGCCATTTTATTTCCCACAAAAAATATTACCAATTCTCATGGTTTCATAAGGGGTAACGTAATACTGATACTTACCATAATCCAGAGTAGTATATGAATGTATAAGAATTTCGGTTGACTATTTCTCATGAATGCAAGTGGAAGTAGTAGAACGGCAACGCCTGATCTAAAATGAATTCCGAAACATTCAAATATCATCTCAAACAGCGAATAACAGAAATAATTTATCTCATAATAACCCCAGTATGAATCGTATTAATGCCATCTGACAGTTGATAAATGGAACGTTCTACACCCAATCCATGCATTAGAGGAAAAATCCTTCATTTTCCTTGTTGATAACATTGTCAATTTTGATCACTGTTTTAGAGCACATTTATGTCATCACAAACATTATATTTGAAACAGAACATAGTGATTCTCCAATTTCTTTACACGCGTAGATGACTGTGCTAGCATGAAGATCTGATGAAGTTTGGTAAAACTAATCTTCCTGTATTTATCAATTACACGCATGGATATATATTTCAAATCCTGATTTATGGTATTCAGCAAAAATATACACTCATGACAAAAGCTGTTTGTCCAGCATACGTCAGTGTACATTTTAAAACCAAATAATAAGTTTTTGATATAATATACATAAACATCGTCCTCATTTCACACAACAGTGGTGAGGCGTAAGTTAAATAAACCAACTGTATTGTCGAACACTTTTTATGAGAAATGAATAGTAGGTCCTGTTAGCCGGGTTTGAAATGCTCATCAAACAAGTAAGTGTTCTGGTATTCAATTCCTAATCGACTTACTCCTTAACCTTATTTAGTTTAACAGCAAGTAGTAAGCGCGAGAACAGTGAGTGTTGTGCATGAGGCAAACAAACTCATCGCTGAGAAGACAACACATATGCTACTGAAGTTTCAGGGCCCCAACCATGTAGTCTAATATTTCAATCGGAATACAAGGAACCGAGGAAACAGTGACTCTACAGCAGTAAACAATACAAGAGTCAAAAAGAGAAGTTACTTATTTATTATCTGTTCAGATATTTTGACATAACTAATTAATAGATCGTTACTTTATAACTTATTTTTGTTTTATTATAGCTTGATACTACACAGTAATTTGGTGCAAGTATGGAATTCTCAGCATGTGATGTCATTAGCCCAAATTAATCTGGCCGACTATTGATATCAAGTGTGAGTTGGCAAGGGGATCGAACCCAGGTCCATGTGCAGGATCGAAGAGCATTCTGACGAACGTGTCAACAACGCATTGGGTGGCATAGCCATTGCTGTATTGTTTATTCTTAATAGCAATACATTTAAATTAGCGTGAACACCAGCTTATGTTTTTGAGGTTCTTTCAAGCAAAGTAATCGAATAATATAGTTCATGAAAAGCCGTGAAATGAAGCCTTTGTGATTTCATTTCCTCGTGCTTGCTTATCTTAATGGCGGAGGTTATCAGCCTGTAACAGATTAAACACGGAGAATGGCGGTGCACTACAAATGAAATACACTCGCCATCTATTAGAGGAATAATTGATTCAATGAATAAATAATAATATTCAATAGATAACTTACATCATAATACACACCAGATAGGCATGATCTTTGAAAAATTCGGATAAACTTGACCTGCAAATCAAGTTATGATTATATTATCTCCTTTATTCCAATCTTACACTAAGGTAAATAAGACGACCAAGCCCACTGTCACCGATATCATAAGCGTCATATTGATTAGGAACTAAGGATAAATAAGATCATTTAACATATCATGCTAATCTCACCGAAACATAGTTGGTGGAAATCGGGTTTTGTGTTTTCTGACTCTTAATCTTTGGACTGACACAAGATGCAACCAAACCCACCATCATGGAATATATTGAAATCTGTGGATGAAGATAAAGATGACAACAGGATGAAAACGTTCTAGCAATGTGCGAGTATGGGTGATTAACGTAAGCCTGTTAAGGTTCAGGTTTTGAATATTTTAAACAGTATTATGCTTAGGTGAATTGGATCATATTTTCCGACATTATTTTCCTCAGAACTGTGAATTGATGGTTGAGTAAAATTTGTTGTTTACGCTGGTTTGTGAATTTTGACAGAGTGAGAAATTTGTCATAATGCGGAGGAATACACCTAAATAATCTGTGAAACACAAATAAAACTTTGAAAACCTTTTGGGTGAACGAGAATAGTCATCTTAAACTAACACAACTAAATGCATTTTCTAAAAGAGTGAGCTAATTGGTACTTTGTGAAATATGACGTGTGAATAAGTAAGGCTTGAATGGTGACACGCTGCTACAAAATTGGAGATCTGAGACATGAACGCTGGTCGCCTGGATAATGAGTCACTGAAGAGTTAGTTTAGATGACATCCTGCCATTACAGCTATTTGCTTCATTCATACAACTGACTAAAAATCACTGAAACATAATTTCTGTTTTCTTCCTAACTAAAGTATCGACCTTGTAAATGGAATAAATAGACTTGATAAAACTATGAGGAGAATTTATGATGCTACGAAACTCGTGTTCCTCAGTATCACCAAACGACTGCTTCAACAATCTGAGAGAGACCGGTCACCATCCATCGACAATTGAAACTGAATATATTAATTTGGAGTGTGTTTGAAGAAATAAACGTTAGTGTCCGATGCAAAAGTGATTTTCTGCTCAAATAATAGAGGGATTATCAGTGTGGCTGAAAACAGTTGAAGTCATCGTACCAAAACGATCAATAACAAGGCATCTTGTATATTGCGGACATGAAAGTGATGCTGTCAGTTAAATAAACCAGGTCTGTATGTATCCAAGGCGATGCTAGTTAGGCTTGATCAACCACGGTGAAATGCTTTACTTATTAACAACAATTATTATTATTAATACATTACTTTATTCCACCTATTCTTATTATCATTCTTGATTCATTTAGAAATATCTTTATCAGTAGCATTATCTGGACCCCTGTTAACATTATTATTATTACCAATAACATCATTATCGGTATAACTCAGTTTCCAATTCTTGATATACTCAAGTTCTTTCTCTGATGACTTATTGTTCATTCGTATGATGTAGCTGAGTTGTTAGTGATTATCAGCCTAATTTCAATTTTGAAACTCCCTTCCACTTGTCTATATGAACTTGGCCTGGAAGACATTCACACGTATGTTTTTGCATGATTGGTCTGTGGTGAGTGCTACTTATAATCCGATATTAGTAGTATATCAGGAACGAAGTAACAACATGTTGCACCTATGATGAGAATCAAGAGCTATCGAATGACGATATACGACCAATTAGTCAAGGATGTGGTCAATGATATGCAAATGCCGGTTGAGAATATGGTATTCCAAATTTAGCTATGTACCATACGTTTCCTTCAATAAACATTCCTTACAGCCTCCTCAGTCTTATCTTCTTTACAGTCCAATGTAGTCTAATAACTGAGAAGTCTTATATTTCCAAATTAAACTCTAATAGTGTAAATATCCCGGTGTGTAGGGTATGCCTCTGGAAAGCTCTGCTGACAACTGATGGAGTTGATAAATCCCGACTTATGAGGCTTTGTTGGTTGTCTTGAAGAGAATAAATCCTCTCAGTTTTGATAAACAATAAACTACAATCGATACTGTTTATTCATTTCTATTTAATTATACTCAAAAATCAATTGATTCAGTTATAATTAGCGGAGAGGACTTGACAATAGCTCACTCACCTGAAGTAACTCCGGGGTTCTGATGTATGCGTCTTCGAAACCATTCATCTTGTTTCATATATATAAGTATATATTATTTGACTTTGTACACGTTAAATGAAGTCGAAGTATGCAAAGTGATTGAATTCTCTTTAGAATCTCAACGTTATTCTTGAATTCTTTATACACATATTAAAGTGGCGGTATGGATCAAAACATTATAACGAGCTAGTTTAACTACTGGCGAATTTTTTTTCAAACGAATATAAGTTAACGATACCTCAAAGGTTCACGGAGTACAAAGGTAACTTCAAATCGAATTACTTATTTGTATGTATCATATATTTCGATTTCCTAATAAGATAGAATATTGGTGTGAACTGATAAAATTGAAGATTTCTTTGAAGAAATTCGGAACGATAATTTGTAATCAATTTTCTGATTGATTAAACCGAACGTTTGAGTTACGCGTAAAATCGCGATCACAATACTTGTATAAAATACGATACTATTCCACACATAAATTTAATAGACTGACACTCTGACGTGCCTATACCGTATGTCGTCAATTTCACTGTCAATGTGGGTCAATACGAAAAAGCGCTCGACGTTGTGTAAGATAATTCAAGCGAAAGAATAAACAACACGCAACTGTTCAGGTCAAGAATAAATGGACTGAAATATAACTTATGCAACAGAGAATGCGATGCTGGATCAAGAATCCTGAGATTGTCTTTATACACTCACTTCACTGGTCCCTTATACAGAAAGCATTTTAAATCGATGGCGTTCGAAAGATTTGCAGAGGAATGGGTATTATCTTATAAATTTATCACAGATTTGCATACTGTAGTTCGAATTGCTATTTGGTGTAAGAAGGTGAGATATGTATCTCCTGATAGCATCACTTCAACTGTTTGATTGACTTCACGAACACTATTCGATATCTGGAAAAGTATTGTACATAATCTCTACCACACGTTAAGATCTTGGTTTCAGGCAGACATGAATGACTTGAAACAAGAAAATCGTTAGTCATAAACTTTCCATGATTTTCCAAATTATGTTTGATATTTTGCCACTGTTTCTGCAGCATTTCTCTCTGTCGAATGGATAAATTGTCTTGGCTTGGAGATGATCTTCAAGTGCTTTGATGGCAAATATTTATCCTGATGTATTTTTATTTAAATTTTAATCGTGCACTGAAATAGGAACAGCAAACACCTAGTGAAGTGTTTGGCCCTCACAGTGAAAACCACACTGATCTGTATCGTTGTATGTAGACTTAACAACCAATTCATACGTTGAACGACCTAAATATCACGAAGCTATCATCAACGCATTTGCATAGCAGTAAGGACGCTCGCCGACCATGCACATGGTCCGGGGTTTGATCCCCGGCCGGCGGACTCCTTTACCTCGCTAAGCCAGAAATAACGCTGGTGAAGAAGTGGCATGAGGATAGCAATCCCATCCTGTAAAATAAACACTGCTACAGAAACTTCAAGCCACTAGCTTGAAGCCCTATGTTCCACTGCGAACGTGAAGGAAAAAAAATCATCAACGCATGACATGGACAATATTAACTAGTTCACTGAAATTCACACCTTTACTTGTATTTCAGGTTAAAAGCAGAATGGTCTTAGCAGAGAGACGTTGGTGCTAACATATTCTCTAGTCCAGCACAATAAACACATCAAGCTTAATATAATTATGATATTCATTCATTTTTGATTGGATATTCAAACAGGCAGACGGAGAAAGGTGACACTGAATATTATGTGCTTAGTTTACAAGTTTTGTGAATTATGAAACACATGACTATTTTTGATTATACATGGTGCTTGAAAAAATTGACAAATGATCTCTAACGGCTACTGTGTCAGACTAAATTGTTCAAATATACTTCAAGCCTTTCGGAGAAAACCTATTCACGTTAGCTTACTATGAAGACTTGATATAATGAATTTCCAAACATTTCTATTGTTAACGTTACTACACATCTGTTACTGAACCACCTGTGAAAGTGAACATGAATGAAATACTAAAGGTATGTCTAGTTATTTTCCAAGGTTTTGTCAGTGGAATACAAAGAATGGAGCGATGTCTGTTAGATGGTCTATTATAAGGGAAGGAATACTTATGTTGTAATTAACAGCAATAATTTAAGTTCTGTGCGTCGGTGGCATAGTGGTTAGGACGCTCGCCGACCTTGCACATGGTCCGGGGTTCGATCCCCGGCCGACGCACTCCTCCCTTACCTCACCAAGCCAAAAATAATGCTGGCGAAGAGGTAAGGTTGGGCATGAGGCTAGCAACCCCATCCTGTAAAATAAACACTGCTGCAGAAACTTCAAGCCACTAGCTTGAAGCCCTATGTTCCGCTAGGGAAAGTGAGGGAGAAAAAAAATTCAAATCCATCATCTGTTTGTGTATAATGATTGCAACAACAATGACCTATTGCTATTACCTCTCCTTTTTTGAAACTAATGGAGAAATTATTGTTACTAAAACTTGTTCCCTTCCTAAGCTTCTCAAATGACCCAAAGCAGTTTTCTTACAAACACGGTAGAATTACTTTAGACGCTGCTGCTGTGTTTCATCACAACATTGTATCCTCCTTAGACTAAGGGGACAAGTGTGTCCGTTGAACGTTCCTTGATTATACATCTGCTTTCGACTCTGTACCCAGGGGAATTTTTTAAACAAGCTTAGCCTTACAAAAACTGATTCCTGGGTTATCAATTGTCTGCACTCTTACTTCTCTAATAGGATGCAGTACACGGTATATAATGGTGCATCCTCCTCTCCTTTGCTTACTGAAGCTGGAGTTCCTCAGTGTGCTGTTCTCTCCGTTTCTCTTTTCCTTCTTCTTACATGATTTTCCTCTTTCAGACGAAATCAACTTCGTCAAATATGCAGATGAC